TGCCTCGTACAAGGCAGTAAAAGTATCTGAGTCTGCCTCGTACAAGGCAGTAAAAGTATTCTATCTGAGTCTGTCTCGTACAGGGCAGTAAAAGTATCTGAGTCTGCCTCGTACAAGGCAGTAAAAGTATTCTATCTGAGTCTGTCTCGTACAAGGCAGTAAAAGTATCTGAGTCTGCCTCGTACAAGGCAGTAAAAGTATTCTATCTGAGTCTGCCTCGTACAAGGCAGTAAAAGTATTCTATCTGAGTCTGCCTCGTACAAGGCAGTAAAGGTATTCTATCTGAGTCTGCCTCGTACAAGGCAGTAAAAGTATTCTATCTGAGTCTGTCTCGTACAAGGCAGTAAAGGTATTCTATCTGAGTCTGCCTCGTACAAGGCAGTAAAAGTATTCTATCTGAGTCTGTCTCGTACAAGGCAGTAAAAGTATTCTATCTGAGTCTGCCTCGTACAAGGCAGTAAAAGTATTCTATCTGAGTCTGTCCAGAATTACAAAATGGCGACTTCCGGGGCATTTGTTTTTATCAAACACATCTTGTTCAGAATTGTTCAATTCATTGAAAATTGATTTTTTTTTAAAATAAACATTTCAAATACGTATAAATACGTTACAATTTAATCTTTCCCGATGTGCATTTCATGGGACCAGAAGTTGACGCTGACATCTCTAGGATCTAAGACTTAAAAAAGTTAAAAAAATTTAAAGTGAAAAAGATTGTTTTTATAAAAAATAAATAATAAAAGTCCTTATAAAACATCCCTGACTATCAGCATGATTTATTGTGGGTCAAAATGTAATTTTGTAGATTTTACCAAAGTAATACACGATCGAAATCACTAATAAATCCTGATTGCAGTGTCCAGCACTAATCGTATTATCTGTCAGTTGATATGTACTATTTCCTGATTAACTCTATCTGGACATTCCAAGATTACCATTCAATTATTACGGGAAGTAGGAAATGGTAAATTACTCTCTAATCATTGATACCGAAAACCAGTTGAGGCTTCATTCCAAATATAGATATTCGGTCTGTTTTGCTGTACTTCTTGAAGGGTTAAAATAATGTATAGAGTTTGTTTCTTATTAATAGTCATCTTCAGTAGAAAAGTGACTACAACACAGGAGATCTAGAAAGGGGGATTACAATAATTATAGTTATCAAAGAGAACACATTCATGGTTTCATAATCCTCATTAGAAAAACTTTTTATCTGTTCTTTTTGAACCAAACCTTTTAATGGAAAATATTTTAAATTGCTGGTTTTCACTGAAAATTCAACCCTTTTAAAATGATGCAACCTGCATTTTCCTTATGTAAACCATGTTTTTAATTACCTAACACAGGTACAATCCACCTATTCAAGGCATTACAAAAAGTATGAGAGAAAGCAATTTTGAACACAGAGAAGAGATTTACTATAATTTATTCATGATTAGTTACTATCATGAAAAAATATAACTCTGATTATGATGAAATAGTATTGTACGCATATATTGGTTCCTGATAATGTAAATTTTAACATAGTTAAGTTGCTGATTGTCAAAGCGTAATATTAAAAAATAAAGATCCTGTATTAAGAAGATGTTTAACGTTCTCACATTTGAATTTAATGTGAAAGAATCATATAATTATTACACGTAATGAATGAGAAATATGAAGATAACGAGCAGTGATCGATTTCAAAAAATCTACAAACAATACAAATCTGATAACAAGGCATAAAACACAGACCCCCGGAAATTTCAGAGGTGGGATCAGGTGCCTATGAGGAATAACCGGCCACATCCGCAGTGAGCCCTGAAATATCTGATTCAATGCTGTTTATATTTTTGTTAGGAGTAAAGATAGAGGCTTGGTAGAACCCGCTGTGTATCTTTGTTCGAAAGGATTTTTATGTACTTTAGGAATACAATATAGGTATAGTAATTCAAATTGGTTGTTGGGAATATTATAAATATTAAAAACTGATATACGATTTTGAAGAATTTCCTCCTTAAGAAGGAAACTATGAGTATAACATTTGATTACCACTCGTAAACTTAAGCCCAAGTTTCTCTGAAATGCAATTGAAATAATGAGCCTTAAAAATAAAATATTAAGATAACGAACAGTAATCAAGCTCAGATGTCTCTTGAAACAATACAAATTTGGAGCAGAGCAAACACGGACCTCTAAAACATCAGAGGTGGGATCAGTTGCCATAGAGGAGTAAGCATCCCCTGTCGACCGGTCACAAACTCCGAGTGCTCCTTGTCATGATCGGGCAAACGTAAAAATCAGTAGACATTTTGTATGAGAAACATCAGTCAACATTTGACTTAATGAAAAATTGTATTTGCTGTTAAGGTCATTGTATTGTTTCGATAATTTGCGAAATGTTCTTTAAATGAAACTGTTGATATTCTTGTTTCATCAACTTATTTGTCAATAGTTATCCTCGTTTTACAAATTGTTCTTACGTGCTCTTGCGTATACTGAGTAATCAACTAGGAGACATAAACTCCATATGCAGGTGATAATAGTGTATTGCTAAACAAAGACTATATGTTGTTATCTGCTTTGTAAGACGGGAGCAGTACATATTGATCGAGTAATCTTTTTCTGTATTGAATTATTGAAGACAGAAGGATGGACGATTTTTATATTGCTCCTCAATCGTTTAACACGATATTTCAACTTCAACCTTATATTCTTAATCCATTCTGACAAAGTGTGAAGGTTTTCTCCTTCATATTTGACCCATCGTCTGGCAGAATTCATAATATCTATGAAATTTTATGAAATTTTGTCGCCAATTGAAAGACCGGGGTTCCAAAAGTTTTGTCTCTTTTAAAGAAATTATTGCCTCAAATGAAACCCCCCGAATTAAAAATCTAAATTAATTAGATAGTGATCACGTGATCCTGTGACGTCAAAGGCGACAATGGCTGATCAGTTCCTCACGTTAATCTTACTAAAAAATACGTGATACAACCTGAATTTTCTACGTTATGAACGACCAAATCACTGATTTTTCGATATGAATTTGAATAGCCAACCTTATATTTTAGAATTGTTAGGAACAAAAAATCTGAAAAATCTGTTAACATTGTAAAAATAGCAGCGAAGATAGCGAGGGAGACGCGGCGAAGACGAAGAAACTCGCCATCACAATACAATTTGATTTGTCATCTTATCACATGTATGAACTTTTTTGATTCACAAATTAAATATTATATAACTTTGTTATTCTTCGTTTTTAACATAAAAATTTATGCAAGTACGCCTTCATATGTTTTGTAAAGGATGGCGGTCTTGAAAAATATTTTCCGATCACGGCGAAACATTGCCGTAATCAGACCTACAGATGCAAAATATTTGGAATAAAAAACGAAAATATCTCAAAGGTCTTATAGCTTAGAACTAGTTAATGTTTCTATAGTAATTGAAAAGCACTTTAGGAATTATTTTTTTCAGTATTTTCGTAATTAAGCTGCATTTGTCCTTGATAACTCCATAAATAGTGTGCAACTTATCTCTCTATTACTGAATTGTCGCCTATGACGTCAGAGCAGTATTTCGCCGAAATCCGACTGAAATATGCATATTGCCGTATTTGAATTTCAACTCTCAATATCTCTTAAAATACGCTTTCAACAACGTTTATTGTATTCAGTATTTTAATAAACAAGGTTGTAGATAATATTTTTCATAAAATTAAGATTTTTGAAAAATCATGCGATAAGTCCTTTAAGATTCTCATTATAAACATATTCACGTCACCAGCAGGACTATAGTTGTAGAGAGAAGAGGGACATGAACACTTTCATTAGGATAATTGTGTTTCAGGCTCCGGGCCATAAAACTTAGAAGATCTCACTTTTGATCTAAGTCTCACTTTTACAAAAGGGATATATAGTGGAAAAGTGAGACTGAGATCAAAAGTGAGCTCGTCTAAGTTTTATGGCCCCGGAGCCTAATGCTCGATATCTAGGCACTGTAGAGTTTTATTTTAAATATAATTTTGAAGTTTTGAAGCAATAGTTGATGAATATTCTTTTTATAAATACAGTAAAACACGCTTATAGCGAACATGCTTATATTGAATTGACGCTTACAGCGAAGTGATTTTCATTTTCCATGGCTTTAAAATATATTGCGAAGTTCACGGATATAACGACTTACGTTTATAACGAAGCAACATTGTCCGTCCCCGGCACTTTGTTACAAGCGTGTTTTACTTTTTATCAAAAACTGTCAATTTTTAATTTTTTTTTGCAAAATTTTTTTGTTAAAATTACCTTGCTTACAAATATACTCTTTGGTCATAATTTGACTGAAATGTTTCACACCAAATAAAAGTTCGGAATATGAATAACTGAGGGACCCTCTGGCAACTTTACACGACTCTTTCCCATAATTCATAAAATATAGCAAATTGTTTGATGTAATAATCCCAGCTTTCTTTTTAAATTCAAATCTCGACTATTTTACGTTTCCTTTCATGCAGCTTCAGCTAGTTTTCAATGTATCAACTTCAAATTAAAACACCAAAAGAAAGTTAGTTTGATAATGATTTAACTTGGATTTAAGGAATAAGTACGCATTCAACTTAAATTTACAGGTAGATGAAAGCATGAGTTAAACTTTGTATGTCAGTTTTTTTTAGAATACACATTACCTGTAATCAATTCTACAAATAAGTTAAAGATCATTGTTCCGAAAAGAAACATCAAGCTTACATAATACGTCAAAAATATATTTAATTAGTTACACTCACTTTTCCCTATTTATGAAATTAAGTAATATATGTATTGGATATATTTCCGATAGTTCCGGTGACCTAACGAGCAGACATACTTAATGATAATAACAATACTTAATTCTCATATATTTAGAAGTGATGTGGTGGGTATTCAGGTCAAAACGTAGGCAGTATTTCAAAAGTGTTGATAATTATCGTATAAAAAGATAGCTTCATTCTGTCTTTCCAGAAAAACAAAGCAGTGGCATCCAACATGGGAGACTCAAACTGTGGGGTATGGTAGTTTTAATATCTCTTACATGTATATATCATTTATCATGCTCGGACATTAAAACTAGCAAGAGAGTATGTTTATTTATCAGGGTTCAAGGCATTAAGTAATGGGATTTCTATCCACTAATCAGTGAATATAATGATCAATTTAAATACATTTTTAATAGAAACGAAACAATGCTTATCATTGTGTAAGGCATAATTAAAAATTGTTAGGGCTTTATTCTGCTAAGATAAGTCAAATCAAACTTCTCATTAATATTTTTGCAATTCAATTTGATGTCTTCATTATTTAAAATATAATAAGAAAAAAGAAAAAAAATATGAGTTAGCAAAAATATTTTCGAGATTATTATTTTTTTATGTAACGTAAGTATTGATTTATGTATATCCTATCGACATGAATACTTTAATTGCACGTTTTTATTTTTGTAATTGAAGGCGTCGTATTGGGAGAGCAATATTTTGACGACAAAAAATGGCTTTGTGACTTTGTTGCTAGCCTCTGTTTGACAGCATGCTTCTGTGCCTTCCTCAGTCTAACTTTATTGACGATGTCCCGTTACATCTACTTATGCCACAACAATGTTTACGACAAAGTTTTTAACCGACTCTCTTGCATCATATTTTGCATTACCTGTTGGGTTGCTGCTTTCTTGTTCCAGTTTCCAAATTTTATTGAATGGGGAAAATATAATTTCGACCGAAAGAATCATCAGTGTATCTGGGATCGCACAGCTAGTTTGTCCTATACCTTGTTTGTCTCCATCGGTTTGATTGGTGGACCGCTCCTCGTAATGGCTATCTGTTACTTCCTAATTTTCCAACGAATATGGGAAACAAAGCGCGACATTTACCGAATGGACACAAAAAACCCACATAAAATGAGGAAAGCACGGACGGAAACTGTTCGTTCATCGAAGACCTTATTCTGCATATTTGTCGTGTTCTTTGTATGTTGGACGCCTTACGCTATAACTGTTGCCCTAGATGTCCAGAATAATCTTTCAACTGAAGTTCATTTGTTTGTGACACTTTTGGCACATTTGCATTCTAGCGTCAATTGCATCATATACATCATGGGAATAAAAAGGTTCCCAATGGGAGTTCTTAGTCTTTGTGCTTGCGGATCATCTCACATGGCATCAAGCACTTCTAAACCCGAAAAACATCTCCAAGGTTAACATGAAACCAAGTTTACATAATCCTCCGTTGAATTGGTGACTCATATACCTGCATTTTATTGTCTCCCTGTAGAACCCTTTATAAAAATGATGTTCAATGTTGAATAAAAAGTTCATTAACACTTAGCCTTTTTCTTTAGAAACAAAACGTACAATGAAAACTGTGATAAAATATTTGTTCACAGTAAGATTTAAAAGGAAAATGATATACACTTTTGTATGATTGTTGCAGTACTTTTATTTCATATCGAACATTAAAGTTTGATCACCTTTAACGTTTAGAAAATGATTATCATTTCTTTAGCTTTTTTTACGAAAACCACATGCTTGGTGCATTAGACTTCTTTTGTTTCTGTGATAGCAGTGTTGGGACCCACCTTGCACAAACTTGAACAAACTCTCTGTTTTGCCTATTTCCTTGCTAATAATAATAATAATAATAGAAAGATTCCCCCATCCTACATTTTTTTGTCTAATCATTTTTTTTCTTTTGGTAAGAAAAACATCATGGAATTTGACATTATGAACTATACAATTATTTTCATTGAAATATTCAATGTTTTTCAGTTGGATACGGAATTAACTTCACGAGTGGAACAGGGTTTTACTTCTATATTTTAACCAGTGTTAATATAAAATAATCCTGTATGACGTATGAAATAAATTCCGTTCCAAATTCAAAACACTGGATTTTCTATTTATTACATTTTTTAAAAATAGTTATTGTTTCTTAATTTGCCGCTATCACCTATTTTCTGTGGCGTAGACTGTTTTGTAATAGCTTAGAGTTTGTCATAGATCGCGATTGTGAGATTGAAAATGGAGTTTTGGAGAAACTTTGGCTGTTTACTAAGTGACATGATTGTTTATTTATACTCTTGATGTCTTTATGGAGTATTTTCTTCAACTATTCCTGAAAGAAAGGGGAGCTTTTTCCTTGAATTTGTTGTTTTCACTGTGAAAATAACACTTCTGATATTTTCACGGTGAAAATAATACGCCTTTTAAAATATTTATTTAATTCAATGAATAAATTATTTCACTATTGAAAATGCAATAAAAATAAAATGTTAATCAGAGCTAAAACACTCCTTACAAATTTCTTTGACATCTCTTGCAATGTTTTTGACTATCCATTACGTAACCGATCAAAATTTTGAAACTTGTATTCACATTTAAAAGAAGTTGTATTTTACCTATATAGAATTGGAAAAACTTCATCCCCCCGAAATCTGTGCGATTCGTTTGCTTTTGTTGACAGAAAATTCTAAATTGCTTAAACAACCTACATCATTTTGTAATTGTTGTTGTAACCGTCATATCAAAATTGAAAATAATAACAGTTCATAAACATTCATCTGTAGAGTTTTCGTTTCTTTATTTTCTTCCAATAAATAAGCCATTTGTTTATGCTTTCTCGAAGAAAGTATTTTGATACTTGGTTTATGGAAGATAACTCCGGAAAATACTAATGAGAATTTCGTTATTCATGTAAATCATATACAAACAAATAAATAAATAGAAATCCAGGGCTGATTTTTTTTAAATCCTAGAATTACATAAAATTTCTCTCAACCTTACCAAATCTTTCTAAATTCTTTTCTCAGGACAAACTTTTCCTATTATGTCACTCCTAGGCACCTGATCTGGTGTTTCCGGTGGTCCGTGTTTTACCCTGTTCACGATTCGTCTTGTTAACTGGATTTATGTATGGAACGCCAAATTAACATATATTCAAATATTTGTACCTATCTTCAAATAATTGTACCTATCTTCAAATGATTTGAAGATAGGTACAATTGAATTAAAGATAGGTGTAAATGAATTAAAGATAGGTGTAAATGAATTAAAGATAGGTGTAAATGAATTAAAGATAGGTATAAATAATTATACCTATCTTCAATGGAATTACACCTATTTTCAATTCAATTAAAGATAGGTTCAATTGGATTACACCAATCTTCAATTCAATTAAAGATAGGTTTAATTGAATTATACCTATCTTCAATTCGTTTAAAGATAGGTTCAATTGATCTAAAGATAGGTACAATTGATTTGAAGATAGGTACAATTGAAACATATCCACAAATACGAAAGCCATGAAGGGACACGTCGATTTCTCAAAAAAGCAAAAATGAATTTGAGATCTCGAATTACACAATCCGTTCTCACAGATTACTAATTCGTTCCCTCGGTTTATAATTCGAGATCTCGAATTACATAATCCGTTCCCACTGATTACCAATTCGTTCCCTCGGTTTATAATTCGAGATCTCGAATTACATAATCCGTTCCCACTGATTACCAATTCGTTCCCTCGGTTTATAATTCGAGATCTCGAATGACATAATCCGTTCCCACTGATTATCACTTCGGCCTCTTGATTTAGACAATCCATCAATTACATGTTTTACGACTTGAAGAATCCATTTCCTTATCTCAATCATGCGTTCTATTTTGTTTATGCAACAGGCAGTTCCGTAGTATTTTTAAATTAAGTAAATGTAAATTTATTTAATAAAAATAATTACAGAGGACCCATGTTTACTTTTATCAGTGTTTTCCATGATTCTATAAATAACCAAATATCTAAGAATTTACTTGTACAAATATTAGTACTAGTAAATGGATTGGAAAAATGTTCATGTAATTTTCTCAGTAAGGACCGTGATATGTAATTAAATGTAGAGTGTGTACTATTCTATATTCTATTCATTAAACAAATATTGCTATATCTGAGATGGACAGATAAATAAGTGCACTCAGCTGCCAGCTGGTAGACCAGCAAATGGTGCATGAAATCAAAATGGATAACCTGTAAAACAAATCATATTCCTCCCAATAACGACAAACATTCCAAGAAAATGAATTTTTTAACTCGAGAGAATGAATTACAATCCGAGATAACGAATTGTGTAATTTGAGGGAACGAATTGATAATCTGAGAGAACGAATAATTAAACCGTGGGAACGAATTGTTTAAACCGAGAGAACGAATTACAATCCGAGAGAACGGATTGTGTAATTTGAGGGAACGAATTGATAATCTGTGAGAACGAATTAGTAATTCGTTATCACAGATTGTCAATCCGAGAGAACGGATTATATAAATCGAGATCTCGGTTTACTTTTACACTTTTTTGAAAATCCTCATGTCCCTTCATGGCTTTCGTACACAAAGGATTTGAAGATAGGTACAATTCAATTATACCTAGGTTCAATTCGTTTTGTGTTATTGAAAATAATGAAAGCTCCCTCTAACAGCGTCTTGAACATGGAGGGAACCGCACAGAGCATTTTTATTGGGAGTAGTTGTTATTGTCAGTATCTTTATAATTAGAGATAAGTTCAATTCAATTGCACCTATCTTTAAATCAATTATACCTATCTTTAATTCATGGCATTTGTACCTATCTTTAGATCAATTGTACCTATCTCTATCTTCAAATCAATTGTACCTATCTTCAAATCAATTGTACATATCTTCAAATGAATTAAAGATAGGTATAATTGAATTAAACCTATCTTTAATTCAATTGGAGATAGGTACAATTGATTTGGAGATAGGTACAATTGATTTGAAGATAGGTACAATTAAATGAAGATAGGTTCAAATATTTGAATATATGTTATTTTGGCGTTCCATATTTATGAGATCGTTCACCGTTCATTATCTTCACCTTCTACATATTTGTGGTTTTAGAAATAATTTTGAACTGTCTTTATTTATGAAAGTAATTTACATACAATTTTCTTTGATGTCTTGAAAGGAATGAGTTTGAACACATAAAGTACTTTTGTTTATTTGATATCAATTTAGGGGGAGAATTATACACACCTGAAAATCTAGATATTATCAAATAACCATAATTACAATAGCAAACTTAATATCTAGATATTCTGAAAGATATAGTATGGACGTGCAATTAACTGCTATCATAAAAGGCAGTATGTCGATCAAGTCAGAAAAATATGATTGCTGCTCGTTCTTCCGAACTTATTTACTCGTGCAATCTTGTACTCTTAAAGACATTTTTGGCGAAGTTTAATTTGATTGGTACAGGGGATTTTATAGGCTAATCTTTACAGTAAAGGGATTAGGACAGTAATTAATCATGATTGTGACATTTGGGGCATATCTTATTATCTCCCTGATGATTTGTTCTATATTTCCCTGGATGGACGGTGAAACGCGACATTAATAATTATCCCTTCCTTATAATTAGATTTTATAAATGTAGGAAGAGAGGTTTTATACATGTACTAGTATATCTCATAATAATTTGAATATGTATATTTGTTAGTGGAATTATTTAATTTTGTATTAGCTATAGGAAAAGTTACATTGATTTTTATATTTACAGAAAAGGAGTATGTGCATTGTTTTTAATTGATATAGAATTACTTTACAAAATATTTATTTCAGGAAACCAGTTATATATTATGTGACTAAATCTTAAGTAATTACATTTAAAACCACAGTATATAGGAGAGTTAGTTAAATGTTACTAAATTTCATAACTTACAGTAGTAGATTTAATGTGTAGGATTCAAAATTATGTATTAGAAAAGAATATATATATATATATATATATATATATATATATATATATATATATATATATATATATATATATATATATATATATATATATATATATATATATATATATATATATATCAATTTTGATATTACGAATATTATTTCTGTTTATATCTTATTATCTAATATGTATGGTGGCATATTTCTGCCCCTTGTGTGCAAGTTATTTTTCTATCAAATATGTCGACATGCAAGATAAATATGTTGACATGCAAGATAGTTATGTCAACATGCAACATAAATATGTTGACATGCAAGAAAATAGCAATCAAATAAAAATTATAAAAAATCTTCAAAAATCTCAGATATAGCCCACATGTGACATCCAACATGCTAGATGCTACTTATTTATGTTAACATGCAACTTATTTATGTTAACATGCAAGATAAATATGTTGACATGCAACATATTTATGTCGACATGCAACTTATTTATGTCTACATGCAACTTGGTTATGTTG